ACCAGCGACTCTGACAATAGGCGCTCACGTACCGGCTACATCTACCAGCTCGAGCCTATCGGACCTATCTCGTGGCAGTAGAGCAAGCAGGAACTAATCGCCCTCTCCTCAGCTGAAGCGGAATATATCGCACTCTACTCAGCCACCAAGGAAGGACTGTACCTTCGCGAACTGCTGGAGGAAGTGAAGCTGGCTCAGTTACCCAGCCTCTCCTTGTTCTGCGACAATCAGTCGGCAATCAGCATAGCCAACAAAAACGGATTCGCGAACAGAACGAAGCACATTCCCCTGCAATATTTCTTCGTGAAGGACGAGATCGAAAAGGGGAGACTCGAATTGTCCTACTGTCCTACATCCGAGATGGCAGCCGATTACTTGACCAAGAAGCTCGGAAAGCAAAAGTTTGAGTACTACATGCTGCTGACTGGACAAGGCCTCGTCACCAGCAGCGACACTCCAGAAGCGAAGGGGAGTGCTGGAAACAAGTTATTTAAGCGCTTCTGCAGTGTCGAAACACCAAGTCGTAAACGAAGCGAAGCACAACGAAGTATCTGCGAGACAACCATCGGAGGTTGAGAAGAAAAGTAACGGCTGGAGGTTGCGCGAAAGTAAAAGGTCAGCGACCTTAGACTTGACAAATACTGCGCGACAGCAAGGACAAGCAACTGACTCGATACTGAGCAGTTGCCCGAGTCGTCAATGTATCGAACCGCAACAGCAAAAGTAAAACATTTATTAGCTGTACCCTTTCATATTCCTTGTAATCTTATAAAAGCTTGTATTGCTTTTTTATTATTAATCTATCTTTGTCAGAGGTCCACTGGTGATCCCCGATTGATTCTAGGGAAGGGTTACAGGCACGTTGGCCTGGGGGGTTATGGGCGCACTTACCCGCTATACAAACAAGCCCTTTTATCCCAATGGTCTAGTGGTTGGAATTATGACAATCTTTCCCTCACCTATGTTAGAATGTTATTTGTGTAGCCTGCAGTGGGGTGCTCAATAGTGAGTACAACCCCTTAGGGTTTGCTATTTGTGTGTCCTTCTGCTTGCTAATCCCACCTCATTCTTCCAATTCTCCTTCGCAAACCCTAACTCCTACCTCTAGAGCGCACACACCTACCTCCTAGTGTGGGCCTAGGCTACTAAGCCTAGGCCCCACTACCTACCATTCCTGTTTTCCTACTATTCTAACATGTTATCAGAGCCCGTTCTACCTTGGCCTGTGGGCCCCTATGCTTCCGCTGCAGTCCTTCTTCCTGCCGCGCGCGGAGCGCGCGGCGAAATTTTTTTTTAGGGTTTCGGAGTTTTTCATCCCGCCGTGCGCTCGGGGCGCGCGGCGGTTTTCTGCCCGCCGTGCGCCCCGAGGCGCGCGGCGGTTTTCCCGTCCGTCGAAGCGCCCTCGGGGGGGCCTGCGCGCTGCCCTCCCCGCTGCTCGTCGCGACGCCCGTGCGGGACCCGCGCGGCGTCGCCCTGCTCCTCGCGACGTCCGTGCGGGACCCGCGGGGCGTCGCCCCTGCTCGTCGCGACGCCCCCCCTGGGCGCCGTCCCTGCACGTCGCGGCGCATTCAAGGGGGCCCGCCCGCTGCTCCCCCCCCCCCCCCGCCGACGAGCCAGCACCACCAGCAGCACCCGCCGCCTGGCCTGCAGCAGAAGCCGCCGCCAGGCCTGCAGCAACAGACGCCGCCGCCCTGCAGCAGCAGCCGCCGCCAGGCATGCAGCAGCAGCCGCCGCCAGAGCCTGCAGCAGCAGCCGCCGCCAGAGCCTGCAGCAGCAGCCGCCGCCAGAGTCTGCAGCAGCAGCCGCCGCCAGAGCCTGCAGCAGCAGCCGCCGCCAGAGTCTGCAGCAGCAGCCGCCGCCAGAGCCTGCAGCAGCAGCCGCCGCCAGAGTCTGCAGCAGCAGCCGCCGCCAGAGCCTGCAGCAGCAGCCGCCGCCGAGCCTGCAGCAGCAGCCGCCATCAGGCCTGCAGCAGCTGCCGCCACCGACCCAGCAGCAGCAGCCGCCACTCTACCAGCAGCAGCAGCCGCCGCCGCTCTGCCGCAGCAGCCACCGCCGCCCAGCAGCAGCAGCCGCCGCCAGCGCTTGCAGCAGCTGCCGCCCCTGGACCCGGTACGCTCTGTGCTGCCCTGTGCCTGTGCTGCCCTGTGCTGCCCGTGCCTGTTGCTGCCTGTGCCTGTGCTGCCCGTGCCTGTGCTGCCCGTGCCTGTGCTGCCCGTGCTTGTGGTGCCCGTGCCTGTGCTGCCCGTGCCTGTTGCTGCCCGTGCCTGTTGCTGCCTGTGCCTGTGCTGCCCGTGCCTGTGCTGCCCGTGCCTGTGCTGCCCGTGCTTGTGCTGCCCGTGCCTGTGCTGCCCGTGCCTGTTGCTGCCCGTGCCTGTTGCTGCCTGTGCCTGTGCTGCCCGTGCCTGTGCTGCCCGTGCCTGTGCTGCCCGTGCTTGTGCTGCCCGTGCCTGTGCTGCCCGTGCCTGTTGCTGCCCGTGCCTGTTGCTGCCAGTGCCTGTGCTGCCCGTGCTTGTGCTGCCCGTGCCTGTGCTGCCCGTGCCTGTTGCTGCCCGTGCCTGTGCTGCCCGTGCCTGTGCTGCCCGTGCTTGTGCTGCCCGTGCCTGTGCTGCCCGTGCCTGTTGCTGCCCGTGCCTGTTGCTGCCCGTGCCTGTTGCTGCCTGTGCCTGTGCTGCCCGTGCCTGTGCTGCCCGTGCTTGTGCTGCCCGTGCCTGTGCTGCCCGTGCCTGTTGCTGCCCGTGCCTGTTGCTGCCTGTGCCTGTGCTGCCCGTGCTTGTGCTGCCCGGGCCTGTGCTGCCCGTGCCTGTTGCTGCTCGTGCCTGTGCTGCCCGTGCCTGTGCTGCCCGTGCTTGTGTTGCCCGTGCCTGTGCTGCCCATGCCTGTTGCTGCCCGTGCTTGTTGCTGCCTGTGCCTGTGCTGCCCGTGCCTGTGCTGCCCGTGCCTGTGCTGCCTGTGCCTGTTGCTGCCCGTGCCTGTGCTGCCCTGTGCTACCTGTGCCTGTGCTGCCCGTGCCTGTGCTGCCCGTAACTGTGCTGCCCGTGCCTGTGCTGCCCGTGCCTGTGCTGCCTGTGCCTGTTGCTGCCCGTGCCTGTGCTGCCCGTGCCTGTGCTGCCCTGTGCTGCATGTGCCTGGTGCTGCTCGTGCCTACTGTCTGCGCCCTTGTGCGCTCTGCTACTGTCTGCGCCCTCGTGCGCTCTACTACTGTCTGCGCCCTCGTGCACCCCCCCCCCCCCCCCCGTTTGCGGGTACGGGGGTGGCTGGTGTGCATTCCTCCCTTTGCTCCTCCTCCTCCTTCGTCTCCCACTGCTACAGCTGTCGCTGAGGGGGGTGGTTGTGTGGGAGACTGGGGTTTAGGGTTTAAGGGGGGGTGCGTGGGAGTGGAGCTAGCGGTGTAGCAGCGGGTGTGTGTCAGGGGGGTGGGACTGTTTTGGGAAGCTGCTTGGAAGTTGCCGTACTGTAGTCCGCAGCACCTGTAGTCCGGGGCGCTGTCCCGGTAGCCCAGTGAGCTAGACTTCTACGCCAGCCGCCCGTGGGTCCGTTGCCCGTCTGCCGCTACTTGAGCCGCGGGGCCTGTTACTCCTGTAGTCCGGGCGCTGTCCGGTAGCCGTTGTGCCAGTCTGCCTCCTGTTGCCCGTGTGTCTGCAGCTTCAGCCGTCTCCTCCTATCTCCTCTCCCCTCACTCTCTCTCCTCCTCCTCACTTGCCCGTTGTGACTACCACTAGCTTTGCTCATAATTCTTAACTTTAAACTATTGTTTCTTTAACTTGTGCTCAGAATGTGTGGTGACATTGTGATCCACCTTGAGCTTGTACTGCTTTGCCTGCTCTGCTGATTACACCCCACTTTGGCTATGGGGGTGTGTTAAAATGTTATTTGTGTAGCCTGCAGTGGGGTGCTCAATAGTGAGTACAACCCCTTAGGGTTTGCTATTTGTGTGTCCTGCTGCTTGCTAATCCCACCTCATTCTTCCAATTCTCCTTCGCAAACCCTAACTCCTACCTCTAGAGCGTACACACCTACCTCCTAGTGTGGGCCTAGGCTACTAAGCCTAGGCCCCACTACCTACCATTCCTGTTTTCCTATTTTCACAACCTACTAGTGCAAGGTGCTTCAATACTCATCATTAAAACGCTTCCGCGAACTACAACATTCCTACTCAAGGTTAAGTTTAGCAAAAGATCCATGGGGTTTTTCTCAGCCCAAGAGTTTCTGCATCAATATTGGTGAAATAAAAAAAGAATTAACTAACAAAAAGGCAAATCAATATTGGTGCCTTTTTTTCCTATCAATATTGGTGTCTTTTTAAACGCATTCAATGCAGCTCCAAACAAGCATTTCATGCCTCTGTGTGAGCTTGAAGTACTTCGATGAAATATTGTTCATGGATGAAGTGCTAGTTTGCTATTTTGGCTCTCTATAAACTCGTTTGCATACATAATAAAAGATTCGGAAGAAACGTCTTGTCTCTAGTGTTCTTTCGACAGTAATCTTCGTAGCGGCTCGCGACTCTAGTGAAAGAGTATCTCGCCCTTCACAGTCATTGCCATTCGGCGTCTCGACTTGTAACGATGGCTAGCTTGCGCCACAACCACATCAAATTACAAATCGGCGCGATGCGAGGCTCCTGGAAGTCTGAAATTGCAAATGCAATGGAGCTCGCCAGCCCAGCATGGCAAACCCAGCCCTGGGTTTTCACTCTCAACCCTGGATGGCGGCACTTCGTCAAGGGCTTGTTGCCATTGGCGCATTCTCGCACACCCTTAGTCGCGCTTCGACCCACCCTGGGAAATGCAACTTGACAGTCGGCGATGCCACCTACCTTACATTCATGGCCGCATTGCATTGGAAGCAATGTACGGGAATGGGCCATCGTAATCAGGGCTCAGACCTCGTCCATTGAAATAAGGCCAAGCTCCCCATTTCCAAGCCATTCCCGAATTATGTGCTGTCCTACCGTTTGACTGCAGCTCCTTTCTTGTAGTGCTCTTCGCCACACACGCGCCATGTCAGGTCGTACATTCATGTTGCTCCTAGCGCTGGTCCTCGTAGGTGTCCCGTCCTGCCTGGCGGCACCGGGCCCAGGGTACGACGCGTCGTTCAGCCGGCACTTCCGCCTGCCGGCCTTCTGCAACGGCACCTACTGCAACATCGGGCCGGACGGCACCGTCTCGCTCACTGCCGCCCATAACAAAATGGGAGGTTCGTCTTACAGTCGTGCCACGGTTCAAACTTGTAGGGGAGTCCCTTTTCTTGCTCGGAAACTCCTGACATAGAACAGCAACACGCGCGACTGATCACTTTTCTGTTTCGTTTTTGTTTCTTTTTGTTGGCATTGCGTCTGGCGGCAGCATTCGAGTCGAAGAGCTACTACCAGTACGGCATTTTCGAGGTGAAGATGAAGCTTCCGCCAGGGTACTCGGGCGGGCTCATCCCGTGCATCTATCTGATCTCGGGCGAGGGCCTGGACTACCGCGACATCCATGACGAGATGGACTTTGAATTCCTCGGGTGGAGCGACCCTAAACAGATCAAAATCCACACCAACGCCATCGCTGGCGGGTACACCAACGTCGAACAGGTAGGCAGCCCACCGTGTGGCTCATCGACGGCTGCAACGCTAGGATCCACAGTAACCATGTTTCTGCACGGAACAGCTCCGCCAGGCAAGTAGGGACCCGTAAAGGGCGGAGGGAACCTGCAAGATTGGATCCAAACCAACGCTTAAACTTGGAAGATACGCACGTCGACCAGGTGAGAATTCGGAAGGCCGTTTGAACCGCGAGTGGAAGTGCACGTGCATGCAAACGGGATTGTGTGTTGGTTGGTGAAATGAACGGGATTCAGAAAGGCGCGAGCTTCAGAGACTTCAATTTGATTGTTTGACTCGACGATTACGTAACTCACACAATCAAACTCTGCAACGTCTGCGTTCTCCTGATATAGTCAACCTAGTTGTCCGCAACAGCCAACCATCCGTTTCCCTTTCCCTCACCCCCCTTTCCCCGACGGCGGACTTCCACACGTACACCATGGTGTATGCGCCCAGATAAGCGACTTCTGAGCCGACTCAAAAGTCCCCCTTGCATCTCGCGGCTCGTCCTTTCATCAAAACCCTTTCCTCCCTCCCTCGCAGTACAAGTTCGCGTTCGACCCGTCGGCGGACTTCCACACGTACACCATGGTCTATGCGCCCAACTGGCTTGTGTGGAAGATTGACGGCAAGCCCATCCGCATCACCTGGCGCGAACCGGGCAAGCCCTTCCCCTCGCTTCCCATGAAGATCATGGTGCGTTTCCCCTTTCCGCCTCCCTCCGGCTCGTCCCCTAGCGTCCTAGCAACACGTTTCTGACATCATCACCCCTTCTCGTTTCTGTCGCACCTGGATTCTCTCACTAATGCTTTTCGCCGTGAAGCTTATTCGGAGTAACTTCCTACGTTTCTGCCAGTGGGCTTTAGGACCTTCCACAAGCCACTCTCACCGCTCCTCTCCCTTCCCCGCACCCACCCTACCGTCGGCTTGCTGGAAAGCAGGGGTCGATATGGGACGCATCCTTTTGGCTGCCGTTCAAGAGCGACTACTCCAAGGGCAACGTGACAGTCAAGTTCCGCCGCTTCGACCTCAAGGACGCCTGCCGCTCCGTAGATCCCAAGGTCGCGCCTGCTTGCGCTTTCCGCAAAGATGCGCGCAAAGGTGCGTGGCTGACGCGGCCTTCACGGAACGATATCGCGCGCGCCAAGCGACACAGAACGCTGTACCTGCACAAGGAATTTGGCGGATGGCAAAAGGTTGTGTAGGGGATCGTCGATTGTGTTTGTATCTTAGGGAGTCTCCTAGATGGATCACACCATAATTAGGAGCTAGACAATAGCTAGAGAGTAGGATGTAGTCAGGATGTAGCTGACAGACGCGGTGCAGGCTTCACCTGATTGTAGTTAGCAGTATTTCTGACTCAGCCCTGTTGTGTAGAAGAAATTATATATTTTACCAAGCAGTTGTAGCAAACCTTGTGCTGAAATCGGGTAATAATAATTACGTTTTTTTTTTTTCAAGCTGCACTTCAGCTCCTTGTTGGACCTGCCTATATTTGTGTGATTTTAAATTCCACATGTAACAATGCTCAACAAGGCCAGGTAGCATATGTGCTTATAGGTGTATCGTTCATTCTCTATTATTTTGTTACATTTGGTTCTCGTCTGAAGTTGTGGCGGGAACTCCGCACCGCAAATCCAACCTGATTTCAGCAGTGCATTCACAGCGAACCCTTCACCTCCACCCCACATACACTCAGTACCGTAAGTCCCTTCCAGTTAGCACTGTCCCGCTTCACTCAGTTTCGAAACCTGTGGGTGGGGACGTTCGCTCTAGCATGAGCGCCTTCGCTCGATGCCATGGGACTGCCGGAGGGCCATCGATCGCGTCGTCTTAGTTGGCAAGCGCGCCGCCCCCCGTCGCGCGGCGCCTCCTCGGCTCGGCGCGCCGAGCTACTTCGACGTCCGTCGTCGCTCCTCCGCGTCTCCATCCTCCTCCTCAGCTGCGTCGTCTCGCTCTCGCCACGTGGCTCGGCCTTATTGGCAGGCAGCGCCCACTGGCGCCACGTTGAGGCGCAGTCGCGCCATTCCCCCGAACCGTCGCAGCCCGCGCGGAGGGCCAGCGGGGAGGCGGAAGGGAAAAACGTGGGGGAAGGGGAACCCCGCGCTGTTTATGGGGCCGCAGCGTGGAGATGGGGCGGGGGAGAGGACGGGGAAGCACATGGCGGAAAGGATGTTAGTGGCGGAAGGGAAGGGGAAAGGATAGCTGCGGAGAGAAATGTGCGCGACAGCGAGGGGGAAGCAGGGGCGGGCGAGCGGGTTGAGCGGGTGGGAATGGGGATAGGGATGGGGTTGGGAGCGAGGGGGAGGGCTGGAGGGAAGAGCGGGGGAGCGCGAGGTAGTCGGGAAGGGGACGCGGCGACAATGGCATGGGGGGAGGCGGCAGCGTGGGGAGGGGTGATGGTGCACCGCGCGCAGTGGCACTCCAACAGACAGCGAAAGGGCGCGCAGGGGGACGGCGGGCAGGGGGGAAGCAGGCAGGCGGGCGGCGGATGGAGAGAGGCGGGAGTGGCCAGCGCGAACGGGGGCGCGGGCGCGGGCGCGGCGGAGATGACGGTCAGCGCGGAAGCTGCCGGCGTGACTGCGGGAGCGGATGCAGCTGTGCCTAATGGGGCGGATGGGGCGGATGGGGTGGTGGAGGCGGAGAGGGGCGGGGCGATGGCGCACCACTCTGTGTGGCGCACCCATGGCGGGGCGGGGGACGCCGAGGGGGGCGGGCGAGTGGTGGAAGCGGAGAGGAATGATGGGGAAGCGCGAGGGAGCGATGGGAGGAGGGGCGATGGGCGGGCAGGCGATGGGCGGGCAGGCGTGTCTGGTAGTGCAGTGGCAGCAGGTGAGATGAGGGGCGGACACGATGATGCGGGAGGGGATGGTCGGAGTGCGGGGTCTGAGCGCCAGGGGGAGAGAGCAAGGGTTGGAGAGCGAGTGGGGCATGCGCGAGGAGGCGAGGGCGGCGAGCGGGGGACAGGGGGCACGCCACGCGCGTGGCACCACGCGTTGCTGCACGGCCACCCGCCCACACGCGCGCCTCCCCCTCCCCCTCCCACTCGCTCTCCCCCGCTACTGCTGGCGCGCACTGCTGTGGCCGAGGGCGGTGGGCATATGGGAGGGGAAGAGGGCCTGGGTGGGAGAGGGGACACAGGAGGGCAAGTGGACTTCCCCCCACACCATGCGCGGCTGTACGCGCACGAGGTGGCGCATGGGGCTCCCCCCGCCCCGCTGCTGGTGCTCTCTGCCGCCGCCAACGAGGGCAGCGGAAAGGCGAGGTCTGGCGCACCGCTGCCCCATGTTCCCGTGCCCCATGCGCCCCTGCCCCATGCGTCAGTGCCCCATGCGCCACTGCACCAGCCGCTGCACGAGCGTACATCCCCGGGTGAGGGTCCTCCTCTCCCCATTGAACTCTCCGCCTCTGCTGCGGGTGGCGGCGATGGAGCCTCGGGAATGGGAGGAAGAGAGGTGGGGAACGCGGAGGAGGTTGCTGGGCTGGTGGCAAGGCCAGGAAGACATGCGGAGAGGGGAGATCGAGATGGAGGAGGGGGAGGGGGCGACGAGGGGAGGCGAAATAGAGGAGGCGGAATGAGTGGCGAGGGGAGGAGCAGCCCTTGGGTGCACCACACGACGATGCATCATGAGCGGTTGCAGGGCGGCGAGAGTAAGGAGGATCAGCAGCAGCAGGCAGGGGAGGGGGTCGGTGCCGGTGATGCAATCGGTGAGGGTGGGGGGCGCACGGAATGGGCGGGGCACGGGAGGTGGCACGTGCATGGTGCAGTGGAGCGCGATAGTACTCACGGTGATGCACCCATGGGCGCTGGGCTGTACTTGCACCCCACCACTCACACACAGCCGGTGCAGCAGATGCAGCACATGCAGCACATGCAGCACACACAACTCGCACAGCAGAATCAGCAGGTGCAGCAGGAGCAGCACACACAGCAGCAGCAGCAGCAGCAGCAGAAGCAGGAGCAGGGCGGGGAATGGGCTGGAGGGGTGCAGGTGGCAGAGGTGGGTGACGTGAGGAGGCGAGGAGGAGGCCATCGCAGCTCATTCCAGGAGGAGAGCCACTTCCATGGCAGCACAGAGCACGGGAAGGATGCAGGCAGTCAGCAGCACGCGAGGGGCGAAGGCGACACACAGCAGGGGGCTGGCGGCGTGGCGTGGGGTACGGATTTTGTAGGCGGGAGGGAGGAGAGGCGAGGTGAGGTGAGGGGAAGCGGGTACGTGCATGGCGAGAGGGCGCCGAGGGAGGAGGCGCGGGAGGGGAGGGCGGAGGGGGCAGCCGAGGCAAGGGCCGAGGGTTTGGATGAAGACACGCGCTGGATTGTGCAAGAGGGGCAGCAGCACCGACCAGCGCTGCACACGCGGCCAATGGTGCTGCGGCAGGGTGTGGAGGGGCATTGGGGGGCGGAGGGGACAGCAGAGGCATTGGCTCAGGATGGGGATAATGAAGACACGAGCTGGATTGTGCGAGAGGGGCAGCAGCACCGACCAGCACTGCACACGCAGCCACTGGTGCTGCGACACGGCGTGGAGGTGCACAGCGGGGCGGAGAGCGCATGGGCGGAGGGTGAGAGCATGGGGAGCGCGGCAGAGGGGACGGCTAGGCATGGGGATGCGGGGGAGGTTGCTGGGAATCTGCAGATAAAGCAGCACCGGCCAGCACTGCATGAGGGGCTGATGGCGCAGCAGCATGGCGAGGGGAGTTTCCACAGTGGGGCGGGAGGGGCAGCGCCAAGGCGAGGCGAGGCAGGCAGGCAAGGAGGCGAGGAGGGATGGGAGGCAGCAGGCGCGGCAGCAGGCGAGGCAGGAGGCGAGGGAGAAGTGGGCGTGAAGGGCGGAGGGCGTGTGGGGCAGAGTGAACGCGTGGATGGGCGTGAAGAGGCGGATGTGCTGGTGGCTAGGGTAGGGGAGCTGGGGGAGGTGGCTGGTGAGGGGAGAGTGCGTGACAGCAAGCAAGGGCTGGGTAGCATGGATGGGCTGGGCAGAGTTGGTTGGAGCAGGGGTGACAGTGGCGATGGTGGGCAGGGGACGGCAGCACACCGCAGCGCTTGGCACACAGTGCATGGAGGGGTTGGTGAGAAGCATGAGAGGAGTGAGAGGGCAGAGAGGAGTGAGAGGGCAGAGAGGAGTAGGGGAGAGGAGGGGTTGCAGGAGGGGATGCAGGTGGATCAGATTGATGTGCGGGTTGAGGTGGGCGGTGGGAAGAAGGGGGCGATGGGACAGGGGCAGTGGCAGCAGCAGCAAGTGGATGGGGGAGTTGACCTGCTGGCGCCACACCATGTGTCGCTGCACCAGCAGCACCACGCGCGCCACCACATCTCCTCCTCTCCGCCCTCCTCCGTGCCCGCAGCCCATGCCCCGCCCATCCCCGTCACGCCTCTCACTTCTTTTGCACCCCGCCTCCCTGCTTCCGCCAGCAGCTTCAGCGATGCAGCCACCAGCAGCAGCAGCAGCAGTGGCAGCAGCAGCAGCAGCAGCAGCAGCAGCAGCAGCAGCAGCAGCAGCAGCAGCAGCAGCAGCAGCAGCAGCAGCAGCAGCAGCAGCAGCAGCAGCAGCAGCAGCAGCAGCAGCAGCAGCAGCAGCAGTGGCGGCAGTGTGAGATTGGATGCAGAAGCAGCCGCCGCAGCAGGGGGTGGGGTTGGGGGTGGGGGTGCGGGGATGAGTGCAGCAGGGGGGAGGATAGACTGGCAGTCGGTGGAGACGGACAAGCAAGTGCTGCTCAACCTCAAGCTGCACGTGCTTAGTGACCCCTCAGGTGTGCACATGCTGCCATGCAGCACATGCCATGTGCTTTTATGTGCTGCCATGCAGTACATGCCATGTGCTTTTATGTGCTGCCATGCAGCACATGCCATGTGCTTTTGTGTGCTGCCATGCGGCACATGCCATGTGCTTTTATGTGCTGCCATGCGGCACATGCCATGTGCTTTCATGTGCTGCCATGCGGCACATGCCATGTGCTTTCATGTGCTGCCATGTGCTTTTATGTGCTGCCATGCAGCACATGCCATGTGCTTTTATGTGCTGCCATGCGGCACATGGCATGTGCTTTTATGTGCTGCCATGCGGCACATGCCATGTGCTTTCATGTGCTGCCATGTGCTTTTATGTGCTGCCATGCAGCACATGCCATGTGCTTTTATGTGCTGCCATGCGGAACATGCCATGTGCTTTTATGTGCTGCCATGCGGCACATGCCATGTGCTTTTGTGTGCTGCCACGTGCCGCTTTTCCTTCCGTTTTCCTTTCCCTCACCTCTCCACTGTTTCCAATCCCCTGCCCGCCCCCCTGTCCCACCGCCCCTCCGCCAGGCACGTTGGATAACTGGAATCCAAAGGACCCCACCCCCTGCTCCTGGACTGGCGTACAGTGTAACCCCTTCTCACAGCAGGTCAGAGCAACCACTTCTCCCAGCAGCATGTCAGTGTTTTTTTTTTTTTTTTTTTTTTTTTTTCCCTTGGTTGTCCCTTCCCCCCGCCTCATCTCCGCCTCACCTCCCCTAGGATCTGCAAAGATAACTCTATCACGGGAGCTAAATTACGGGCTAGACACGGGGTAGGAGGGATTTTTGCGTTCGTTCACTCAGTCGTTTACTCATGATTGCACTACTTGCTGGTTCACGGGGGAATTTGACAAGAGTTCACGTTGCAAAAGTTCACAACAATGGTGGCAACAACATTGGCATCACAGACTATATCAGAGCTAGCTAGGCTGCTGGTCGACCGCGCTCCAGCGCAGCAGCGCTCGCACCGCTCCAGCGTTGCACAGTAGTGGTTCGCCAATGTTGCAAGTCGACGGTGTGCCAACGCTGCAGCAAGTTGGCTGCACAGCGTTGCACCCGCAGAACAACGGTGCACCTGCTTCGCAGGTGCGTGTAGCTGGTTGGTGCTCCACGCCTCGTCGCGCGCACAGCGCAGACGCCTGGCAGAATCCACGACAGCGACTGCGCCCACCAGCATGTCGACCTCGGGATACCACCCCCGAGGTCGGCCTCGCAGAATCCACCCCGACGACCTTCGCACACGTCGCCCGGGTATCCCGGTCGACCAGCTTAGTTGGTTGCTGGCTGCACAAGCCCGGCGTCCCTAGTTCGCCATCCAGGTGCTCAGGACGCCGTTTGTCCAGGTCGGCGTCCAGCCTCCCAGGACGCCGTCCAGGCGTTCAGAACGTTGACCAAGCGTCCAGGACGGCGTCCTCCTGCTTGGCGCCCTCCAGCTCGGCGCCCTTGCAGTGGCCCCCGTGCCCACTGCTGTAGGTCGGCTGCATCCCCTGCACATCCGACCACGAGGTCGGCTCCGCCCAAGCGAGGGTGGGGCCACACGACACTCCCGTTGACAGGATCCACCAGTGGGCGTACTCACATTGCTGTCTCTTTCTCCCTCTCCCTACCTCCCTCTTACCTCCGCCAGGTGGTGCGGCTAGACCTATCAGCAGTGTCACTACTGGGCATCTGGCCTTTCAGGACCACCCGCTGGGTGCGCTGACATCGCTGTTGTTCTCTTTCCATGTTTCCTTGCTTCCCTCCCCTCCACCCCCCACCAGGTGGTGGGACTAGACCTCTCAGCAGCATCTCTCCTGGGCGACTTTGCTTTCCAGGACCCGCCTCTGGGCACACTCACATCGCTGTCTTGTCGAGTTGTCCCCTCTCCCCTGTCCCTCTCCCCCCTCTTCCCCCAACACCAGGTGGTGGGTCTAGACCTCTCAGCAGCGTCGCTCCAGGGTGACTTGGCCTTTCAGGACCCGCCTCTGGGCGCGCTCACATCACTGCAGCGCCTGCAGCTGGCCGACAACCTCTTCTCGGGCTCCATCCCCGACTCGCTTTCTTCTATCCGCAGCCTGCAGGTGAGATGGGACCAACGCGTGAGCACACAGGTTAGGCCACACAAGAGACCACAGCCCCCCTCCCTGCAGCTGGCCGACAACCTCTTCTCCGGCTCCATCCCCGACTCGCTCTCTGCCATCCGCAGCCTGCAGGTGAGGTCAACGCCTGGGTGAGGTCAACGCCTGGGTGAGGTCAACGCCTGGGTGAGGTCCGTGAGGACGCGGACACTAGCACCGATTTAGGCAGGATCGGGTCTTCACTGCACACCAATCCTCCCATTAGGTCTGGTGATCGGTCGTGGCGTGGGCTTGCGGGCTACATCTACGATCTGGGCCCTCGTTATGAGCACGATCGCAAAAGGGGGGTGTACTGTGCAAAGCGATCGACTGGCCCAAACTTTTTAACAAGCGTCACACCTTTCGCAAGGCGACCCGGTTCAGCAAGCACGACTCGAAAACCCATTTCGCCAAGTGTATTATCGTTTTTGCCAAACCCGGCGCATACACATTTCGCGAGTCTTGGCAGGCGATTGATCGTGCTTGAGCTTACCACATGCATCACAATCGGGTGACCAACATGAATCTCGACATGATCGGTTGCCCGGGCGAGGCCCCCAAAAGCAAACGCTACAGTAACCCTGTAATAGTTACTGTAGTGTTCTACAGTAACTGGTAACACGGAAACCACCCCCGCGATTGATTCCATCAATCAATGACGATCTCGATGCGAGTGTCCACGTCCTGAGGTCAATGCATCTCATGCCAGGTGTGTTTTGAGTCGACTCAAAGTACACGAGTTGCCAGGGCCCCCCTCCCAGCACCTGGCCGGCAATTCCATCCCCGACTCGCTCTCTGCCATCCGCAGCCTGCAAGTGAGGCAAGCGCAGGCTCTCCATCAACACAGGTTCAATGCATCTGGACGTCACTGCATGAGCACACTGAACCTCACTGCAGCTGGCCGTCAAACCCCGACTCCCTCTCTGCCATCCGCAGCCTGCAGGTGAAATCAAAGCATGGGCATGCAGGTGAGGTCAATGCCTTGTGCACATGGGATCTCATCCCACTTGCAAGAGTGACTGGAGCTAGAGACCTCTTCTCCAACATGCCTTCCCTGTCCGCCTCCCCGTCCCCCTCTTCATCCCCTTCCCTCCCTATCCCCCTCCACGTCTCCCTCCGTTCCCCCCTCCCCCGTCCCTCCCCTCCTCAGGTGCTAGAGCTAGCCAACAACGAGTTGGATGGCATCATCCCCCCCACGCTCTTCTCCAATGTGCCCTCCCTCGCCACCGTTGACCTCAGTGACAACACCCTCTCAGGCCCGCTGCCCCAGGACGTCTCCGCCTTGCAGTCGCTGCTCTCGCTGGACGTCAGTGGTAACCGCCTCGAGGGGCCGCTGCCGGACAATCTGTCGCAGCTGCGCCAGGTGTCGCAGCTGGTGCTGGATGGGAACAAGGGGCTAAGTGGGTCGCTCAGTCCTGCTGTCCTTGGGTCTCTGCCCTCATTGCAGGTGTGTGCGACTGTGTGTTTCTGTGTATTCCTGCTGGATGGCAACAAAGGGCTCTCTGGGTCATTGAGTCCTGCTGTGCTGGGCGCACTGCCGTCCCTGCAGGTGCGTGCGATTTGTGTGTGTGCGTGTGCGCGAGCGTGGTATGGCTGGTGCTGGACGGCAATGTGGGGTTTACTGGGCCGCCCAACCCTGCTGCCCTCAGCTAGCTGCCCACGCTGCAGGTGCATGCGATGCAAGTGTGAGTGTGTGAGTGTCGATTTGTATGTGTGAGAATGGGTGTGAGGAAGTAGCTACCATAGTGCACTACAACGTGTTTGACTCAACTTTTTGTGCTCGGCGCCCCAGCCTTTCCTCACGTGTCTTCACCTCTCGTCGCCCCTCATCCCCCCTTCAAACCCACCAGGTGATCTCAGCTCGAGGCTGCAGCTTCAGCGGCTTCCTGCCGCCTGCTCTCGGCTACGCGCCGCGCCTGCAATCATTGGATCTGGGCGGCAACCAGCTGGCGGGCGGCATACCGCCCACGTGGGGGCAGATGGGCAGCTTGACCTCTCTGGTGATGGACGGCAACCAGCTGTCTGAAAGCATCCCCTCCGCCCTCAACGGGCTGTCGGCTCTGCAGGTGGGATTCAACTTGAATAATTCAAGGACAGAGGGGGAGGGAAGGTGAGGGAGAGAGGGAGGGATGGGATGGGGGGTTGTATAAGGCAGGGTATGAGGGTGGGTTTAAGTGGGGTGAGGGGTATGAGGGTGGGTTTAAGTGGGGTGAGGGGTATGAGGGTGGGTTTAAGTGGGGTGAGGGGTTTGAGGGTGGGTTTAAGTGGGGTGAGGGGTATGAGGGTGGGTTTAAGTGGGGTGAGGGGTATGAGGGTGGGTTTAAGTTGGGTGAGGGGTATGAGGGTGGGTTTAAGTGGGGTGAGGGGTATGAGGGTGGGTTTAAGTGGGGTGAGGGGTATGAGGGTGGGTTTAAGTGGGGTGAGGGGTATGAGGGTGGGTTTAAGTGGGGTGAGGGGTATGAGGGTGGGTTTAAGTGGGGTGAGGGGTATGAGGGTGGGTTTAAGTGGGGTGAGGGGTATGAGGGTGGGTTTAAGTGGGGTGAGGGGTATGAGGGTGGGTTTAAGTGGGGTGAGGGGTATGAGGGTGGGCTTAAGTGGGGTGAGGGGTATGAGGGTGGGTTTAAGTGGGGTGAGGGGTATGAGGGTGGGTTTAAGTGGGGTGAGGGGTATGAGGGAGGGTTTAAGTGGGGTGAGGGGTTGCGTCCACCTGCGGCCCCAGACGAACGGGTCCGCTTCGACTTGAATATCCCAAAGCGCCTTGACATTCGGCTGTGCCAGATGGGCAGCCTGACCTCTCTTGAGGCGCCTCAAAAGTCGCCAAATGGGCAGCCTGACCTCTCTTGAGGCGCCTCAAAAGTCGCCAAATGGGCAGCCTGACCTCTCTTGAGGCGCCTCAAAAGTCGCCAAATGGGCAGCCTGACCTCTCTGGTGATGGACGGCAACCAGCTGTCTGATTGCATCCCCTCTGCTCTTGGTGGCCTCTCCGCCCTGCAGGTGGGGTTGTATAAGGCAGGGTGGGTTCAAGCGTCAAGGGGGGTGATGTTTGGTTCTCGTCCGCCCTGCAGGGGGTGGGTGAAGGTGGGGTAGAATGCAGGGGAAAGAAACTGGTTTGGCACAGTGTGGGGATAAGAAAGAAGGTCCGGAGACGAATTGGCTCGGCACGTTTTGAACCAACAACACACACTGCTCACGTCCATCTCCTTGCAACAAACCCACTCCACTGTTTCCTCTCAACCCACCCTCTTGGTCTCTCCCTCCCTCCTCTCATGCCTGCCTGCCTGCCTCCTTCCTTCCCGCCTGCCTCCCACCTGCCCCCCTCATCCCCACTCAACAGAGGCTGGATGTAAGCAGCAACGGGCTCAGCGGCACCATCCCAACCCTCAATGGGCTCACAGCGCTCACCGCTCTCAACCTCTCTGCAAACCAGCTCTCCGGACCCATTCCCACCGACGGCGTCCTAGGAAGTTTCCCACCCTCTTCCTTTGCCGGCAACCCTGGCCTCTGCACTGGGAACTGCGCCTCTCCCCCTGCTGTCCGCCCTCCCCCTACCATTGCTCCCCCCATCTTCCCCCCGCCTACGCTCTTCCCCCTGCCCGTCCCCATGGCCCCTCTCCCCCCGCTCTCCCCTCCCCCACCCCCTTATGTTGAGCCTCCGCCCTACAGTCCTCCCATTCCGCCCCCAATTCGCTCCCCCCCACCTGCTCCTCGCCCCCCTCCCCTCTCCCCCCGCTCTCCCCCCCGCTCCCCCCCTCGCTCTCCCCCACTCCCCCCTTCCCTGCGCCCTCCTCCCATTCCCCCCAAGCCGCCCTCCTTAAGGCCCCCTCCCATCCCACCCACTCTCCCGCCCTTCCCACCCCCTGCCTCCCCCAAACCGCCCCCTCCTCTCTTGAAGCCGCCCTCCCCTCCTCACTCCCCCCCCCCCCCGCCCCCCTCCCGTTCCGCCCCGTTTGCCCCCTCCCTTTCCCCCTCCCGTTCCCCCTCCCGTGCCCCCTCCTGTTCCTCCACCCAGCCCCCCTCTTTCCCCTCCTCGCCCTCCTCCACTCCCCCCTCCGCTCCCCCCTCCGCGCCCACCTCCCCGCCCCCCTCCTCACCCCCCTCCTCTCCCTCCGCCTCCCTCGCCTCCCCCATCCCCCCCACCTCTCCCCCCACCAAGTCCCCCAAGTCCCCCTCCCCGCCCACCCCCTTCTCCCCCGCCCTCCCCTCCTCCCCCAAGCCCACCACCACCCCAACCCCCCCCATACCCTCCCCCTTCCCCCCCTCCCTCCCCTCCTCCATCTTCTCCCCCACCATCCCCGCCATCACCCCCACCCCCTTCCCCACCTCCCCTCCCCCCATCCCCTCCCCCGCCACCATCACCCCCACCATCCCCCCCATCTCCCCCTTCCCCCCCTCCGCCTCCCCCATCACCCCCTTCCCCCCCATCCATCTTTGCCCCACCGCAGCTGCTCAACCGCATGGTGCTGCCATCCAACACCACCAAGCCCATGCCAGTCAGTGCCATATTCGCCTTCTCCCTCTCAGCGGTGCTCGGCGCGCTGCTCATGGGCGTCTGTTTCACCATCAACCAGCCCTACTCCTCCTCCTCTGGCCAATCGCGCGCGTGGGCAGCAGCAGGGGCAGGGGGTGGGGGCGGTGCGGGGGGCGGTGGAGGGGTGCTGGGGGGTTTTTTAGGGGGAGGAGGGGGGGAGGGAGGGGGGGCTAAGATGGGGATACTGGGGGCGGCAGGGGGGGCGATGGCAGGGGCGGCAGCGGGGATTGCGGGCGGCAGGCACTCGTCAGCATCCCAGCAGCTTGTCACAATGTTTAACGGTCAGACAATGCATTTGGATGACCTCCGGGCAGCCACGGAAAATTTCGGGCCCGGGCAGATGATGGTGGGCGGGGCGGGGCCGAGCGGGGCAGTGTCGTTTCTGGCTGAGATGGCGGACGGGGCGGCGGTTTTTGTTGCGAAGCAGCTGCCGCCCCTGCTGGGGGGAGATGCCGTCAACTTTGTGTTCGAGGTGAGTCTGGGGGGGGGGGGAGAAGGGGAGAGGGAGAGGCGCGGGTTGGAGGGAGAGGCATGGTAGCGTGTGGGAGGGGGGGGGGGGAGAGGGGTTTGTGAGTGGAGAGGAGGGGAGAGGAGGGGAGAGGAGGGGAGAGGGGTGTGGGAAGGGGAGCAAGGAGAGGCGGGGCATGGTAAGGGAGAGAAGGGGTATGGGAGGAGAAAGGATGGGGGAGAGAGGAGGGAAGGATAGGGGATGGGGGTGGGGGAAGGAGAGGAGGGAGAAAGTTGGAAGAATTTTCCAAATGATCAAATAGCTGGCATGATGATGCACATTCTACCGAGCACCGCATTGAGCTTCCACCTGCTCCAACCATGTTGCACCACTACATCTTACCACCACACAATATCACCACCCAGCAGCGCCGCACATACACAGCACCACCATACACCCCAAAACCCCACCTTCTCCCAACCTTGCGAGCAGCGTGAGGCACGCCTGCGAGCAGCGGCGAGGCAAGACAACATTCTGCCAGTGGTGAGGTGCTGGAAGGACGCCTGTTGATACATCTCAGACTCAATCCCACTCTCCCCACCTTGCCCTCCTCCCCCGCTACCTATGCAGCACGAGGCACGGCTGCTATCAGCAGTGCGGCATGACAACATTCTGCCGGTGGTGGGGTGCTGGGAGGGCCCCCTTTGAGACGTCTCAAATCTCAATGTCAAACCCCCTGCTCCCCCCTTGCCCACCTATGCAGCACGAGGCACGGCTGCTATCAGCAGTGCGGCATGACAACATTCTGCCGGTGGTGGGGTGCTGGGAGGGCGCAGGCGGGTCAGGCGAGGCCATGCGCGTGCTGCTGTACGACTACATGCCCAACGGGGACCTTCGGGAGTTCCTATACGATGAGGTCAGCTGCCTTGATACGAATGACCTTGCTGCTACCCTCCCACATGCCTCATGTGTTGCTGTATGACGACATGCCCAATGGGGACCTGCGAGAGTTCCTGTATGACGAGGTCAGTCATACATGTGCAACGGTGACATGCCACATATGCTGCTGTACATGTGTGAGACTAGTGGGTCAGGCGAGTCCATGAGGGTGTTGCTGTACGACTACATGCCCCATGGGGACCTGCGGGAGTTCCTGTATGACGAGGTCAGTTTCCACATGCCACATGTGCTGTTGTGCCGTTGCATGCCACTTGTCATGGTACTAGTGGGTCGACTGAGTCCATGCGCGTTTTGCTGTAGGACTACATGCCCAATGGGGACCTGCGGGAGTTCCTGTATGACGAGGTCAGTTCCCACATGCCATGCCACATGTGCTGTAGGACTACATGCCCTATGGGGTCCTGCTCCCTTCCTCTATGATGACGTGAGTTCTTTTTACATGCCACATGTACTGCTGCCCCACATCTACTGCTGCCCCACATGTACTGCTGCCCCACATGTACTGCTGCCCCACATGTACTGCTGCCCCACATGTACTGCTGCCCCACATGTACTGCTGCCCCACATGTGCTGCTGCCCCACATGTGCTGCTGCCCCACATGTGCTGCTGCCCCACATGTGCTGCTGCCCCACATGCATCACAGTGTGCTGGCGCACATGCCCTTCCCCCACCATCACCTGCCTGCTTCGCCCTGACCACATCCGCTCCTGCTTCGCCCTGACCACATCCGCTCCTGCTTCGCCCTGACCACATCCGCTCCTGCTTCGCCCTGACCACATCTGCTCCACCGCCGTCACTTGCTACCGTTGCTTGCGCCCCACTCTGCACCTCCCACCTCACACTTCTGCCCCTCCTCTCTCATCCTCCGCATCCCTCCTACTCGCTCTCCTCCCCACGCCACGCATCTCGCAAGTCGCTGCAGTGGCTGGTGCTTTTCTGAGTGGTCATGGGGGTGGCAAGGGAGTCATGGGGGTGGCAAGGGAGTCACTTCTGAAAATTTCAAAAAGTCATCCTACCCATCCCTCTTGCCCGCTCTCCTCCCGACCGCCAGCTGGCGTCACGCAAGTCGCTGCAGTGGCCGGTGCGCTTCCGGGTGGCTATGGGGGTGGCACGCGGCCTCGCCTTCCTGCACAGCGGGGTGGGCGGCGCGGGCGGCATGGGCGGCGGGCCGATGGCGCATGGGGCGGTGCATCCGGGGAATGTGCTGCTGGACGGCCGCATGGAGCCAAAACTTGCCGACATGGGCGTGGCTCGGATTGCATTTGATACGGATGATGTGCAAGTGGCCGATGAGATCATGGGGTACACGCCCCCCGGTATGTGCGGATGGGATCATGCGGATGGGATCATGCGGATGGGATCATGCGGATGGGATCATGCGGATGGGATCATGCGGATGGGATCATGCGGATGGGATCATGCGGATGGGATCATGCGGATGGGATCCCCCTCTCCTCTCCAGTACTCAGCACTCCAGCTGATTGCACCTTTCGAGTCATGCTGTGAGGGGTCCTCACAAGCCATCTCCCCGTGAACACAACATAGCATAGTGGAATGGTCCACCTCATCACAACTCCCTCCCCACTTTCTCCCTTGTCCCCTTGCCGCCGTGCTCCCACCACTCCCGCCCATCCCCCAGAGTACTCAGCAGATTGCACCCCCCCCCCAACCCCAGAAGGCGATGTGTGCAGCTTCGCTGTGGTCCTCCTCAAGCTGCTCACCGCTCGCCCTCCACTGGACCCGGCCTTCACTGACAACAGCACAGGGGACCTCGTCGCATCTCCCTGACCCCTCCTCTATTTCCTCTATTTCCTCGCGCCCTTGCCCCTTGGCCCCTGACCCCGCTACCCCCCTCTGTCCCCTCTTCCTTCCCCTCCCGCCCATCCCCCAGAATACTCCGCCGGCCCCACCCGTCCAACCCCAGCCGGCGACGTCTACAGCTTCGGCGTCGTGCTCCTCGAACTCCTCACCGCCCACCCACCCATGCCCCCCTGTTTCCCCCTTTCCCCCTCCCCGCTCCTCCCATCCCCCAGAATATTCAGTGGGCCCCACCCCTCCAACCCCAGCCGGCGACGTGTACAGCTTCGGGGTGGTTTTGCTCGAGCTGCTCACAGCGCGCCCGCCAGTGGACCCGGCCTTCACAGACAACGGCACGGGCGACCTCATAGGGTGGGTGCGCGCCACCATACAGGCGGGGCAGCCGGGGGAGGCTCTGGATCCGCGCATGGCGGACGCGGCGGAGAGTGGCGATGAGATGCTGCAGTTCCTCAAGGTGGCGCTGGTGTGCGTTGCTGAGGATGCGGATGAGCGGCCGATGATGCGCGAGGTGGTGGAGATGATGGTCAGGGCGAGGGAGACCGCCGCCAAGATAAGAGAGAATCCTCAGATCAGGGACTTGCTGGAGTGACAGGGGAGGGGAGGGATAGAGTGAAAGTTGAAGGGAGTGAAACAGATGGGTGGAGTGGAAGGAGGTGGTGGGTGCAGCGGTGCAGCAGGGAGCTCAGGGGGAGGTGGTTGAGATTTTGGTGTGGGGCCTAGGCACGGGAGAATGCAGCTATGATTTGAGAGAACCCGCAGATTCAGGAGTTGTTGGAGTGAGGGGGAGGGGTGGGATGCAGTAGTGTGGAAGGGAATGATGTGGATGCAGTGGTAAAGGGAATGATGTGGATGTTGTGTGTTTGTGCTGTGCAATGGGGGAGCGCAACGGCGATAGTGAATTGGAAGTGAGGAGATGATTTTGTGTTGTACGGTATGTCCATCCATCGTTGCAGCACTCGTACTTCGCTTGGTTCTGCTACGCTCAGAACCAGTCTCGAGGACTGTGAGCGTGAAACACAGTCGGAAGATTGCCGTACTAGCATGTTGAGGCCTACATATGGGTACCAGGTGAATCCAATATTTCGAATTTACTGGGAGCTTGTTGTTACCGGTTTGAAAGCACTTGCAGTTTTTTCCAAACAATATCTTCCAGGGAACGTGCTAGCTTGACACAAAGGGGGCATCATCAATAGAGAGCAACTAGAGCACCGCTGCTGACAAGGACCCGGCAGTAGTGAAAATTTCCCTTTCACAGCACTCTACCTTGCTTGGCCTCAATGCTTAAAAAGAAAATACCCCACTGTCAGGTTGTGTGGGCAGTGCGTGCTTTGGGGCATGCGAGTCCTGAAGGATATGGTAATCAAGCAAGATGCGAGTCCATTTGGGGAGTGATGCGGCGCGTGTGTACACATTGGGGGCATGACTGGCTTAAAGCTGTCAGCGGAGAGAGCTGTCGGTGCAGCCTGCAGTGCGGGGAGAGGGGGGACGAGAGGAGAGAAAAGGGAGGCTGGGCGAGGGGAGGAAGGGGGGGAGAGGACGGGAAGGAGAGGGGGAGGGGGAGAAGGAAAGGGGCAGGCAGAGGCACATGCAGAGTGTGGCGGATTGCAGCAACAAGCGGGGGGGAAGGAAAGGAGAATGTAAGTGGCACGATAGCTGCTAAAATGGGACACAGTGAGGGCATGGTGAGAGCGTACGAGTGGGGAGGATGGGTGCGGGGGAGTGTTGGGTGAGTCCCAGCAGCACCACCGCCTCCTCCACCAGTGCATGCTGAGTTGCCCGAAACACCTGCAGCACTCGCTCCGTGAGTGCTCCTCTCTGGAGCGTGCGCTGATGGTTGAAGGTGGGGGAAAGGGCGGAGGGAGAGAGAAAGGTGACTGTTGAGTCAAGTCGCGAGTTGCCCGGAACACTTGCTTTGTCAGCGTGCTCCCCTGCAGCGTGCGCTGATGGTGGTGGGCGACGGTGGGAAGAGGGGTGAGGGGAGAGAGAGAGGGCAAGGTAGGGAGAGGGATGTGGTGAGAGAGGGGGAGTGGGTGAGACATGAGGGGGAAATAAGGTGGGAAAAGAAACGGGGGGGGGGGGGGGGCGGGGGGAGAAAAGGTGGGGCAGCAAGGGGTGGAGGTGTGGTGGCATCGCACATGCTACGGGAGGGGAGGGGGGGGGGGGGAGCATCCAATTACCCAGCAAGCAACGCCCGAAGCCACCCAAACCTGAATAACAGCAGCGACTTACCCACAGCAGCGACTTACCCACAGCAGCGACTTACCCACAGCAGCGACTTACCCACAGCAGCGACTTACCCACAGCAGCGACTTACCCACAGCATCCGCACTCACCCACAGCAGCGGCACCTTACCCCACAGCATCCGCACTCACCCACAGCAGCGGCACCTTACCCCACAGCATCCGCACTCACCCACAGCAGCGGCACCTTACCCCACAGCATCCGCACTCACCCACAGCAGCAGCACCTTACCCCACAGCATCCGCACTCACCCACAGCAGCAGCACCTTACCCCACAGCATCCGCACTCACCCACAGCAGCGGCACCTTACCCCACAGCATCCGCACTCACCCACAGCAGCGGCACCTTACCCCACAGCATCCGCACTCACCCACAGCAGCGGCACCTTACCCCACAGCATCCGCACTCACCCACAGCAGCGGCACCTTACCCCACAGCATCCGCACTCACCCACAGCAGCGGCACCTTACCCCACAGCATCCGCACTCACCCACAGCAGCGGCACCTTACCCCACAGCATCCGCACTCACCCACAGCAGCGGCACCTTACCCCACAGCATCCGCACTCACCCACAGCAGCGGCACCTTACCCCACAGCATCCGCACTCACCCACAGCAGCGGCACCTTACCCCACAGCATCCGCACTCACCCACAGCAGCGGCACCTTACCCCACAGCATCCGCACTCACCCACAGCAGCGGCACCTTACCCCACAGCATCCGCACTCACCCACAGCAGCGGCACCTTACCCCACAGCATCCGCACTCACCCACAGCAGCGGCACCTTACCCCACAGCATCCGCACTCACCCACAGCAGCGGCACCTTACCCCACAGCACCCGCACTCACCCACAGCAGCAGCAATACGATGTCTTCGGGAAGGCCCTGCAGCGACGAGACGTGGTGGATGTTTGCCACTATCGAATCAGTGCATAACGAGAACAGCCTGGGCGGGGAGGAGCAAGCGGTGGAGGCAGAGGAGGAGGAGGATAGCGCGGATGGTGCTGGTCGGACTGCCTCAGACCCCATGTGCCCCGCTCGTGCTGACTCTCGTGCCACGGCTGCTGATGGGGGCATAGGCTCACCGCCAGCTGCTGTGATTGATGGCCCTCCTAGGCTCACCACTCGCTCTTCGATTGAGTCACCTCTGCTTAGAATCACACTGAACCCGCCGTTTCTCGTCCCCAGCCCTCCCCCCCACCTTCCCCATTCTGCTCCTCTCACCGAGTTCCCGCCCCCCCTCCCCCTCCCCCTCTCCCCCACCCTCCCCCTCTCTTCCGCCCTCCCCCGCGCTCCCCCTTCTCTCTCACACGGCAGCATAGCCTCCTCAACCAGCGATCCCCACGGCGTCACTATCGCTCGCTTCGCGCTGCTCCCCCGCCCCCTCGCGTCACCTCCGCTTCCGCCACTACCAGCGCTGTGGTTTCCGCCCCGCCTTGCGCTCATCCTGCTCTCGCCATCGCCATCGTCCGGTGCCCCCGCCGGCGCATCCCCGCCGCTGATGCTGCTGTGGCTGCTGCTGCTGCTGCCGCCGCCGTTACCTGCAGGGGCGGCGGCGCTACCCGCCGCTCCGCGCATCAGCGACGGCTGCGCGCGGCGGTACTCCTCGTCACCGCGCCCGTTGCGCTCTGCCGCTGTAGCGCTTTCATTCCGCTCTTTGGAAAAATCGGCATCCAGCGATGCAATCTCTCGCGTCTGACGAGCCAACGACAACTCTGACGCTGACGTTAACGTTGACGTTGACGTGGATGCTGACGCAAAAGTTGTCAAACCGTCCGGTTCTTTCTCCAGGCGCAAATCTACACCCGCCGCGCCAGCCCCCGACCCCACGTCATCCCCTTCCCCACTATCCGCCGCGCCTGCCCTGCCTCGCCCCTTTCCCTCCGCTAACCCCACACCCGCCCGCACATCTCTCTCCGCCGCAACGGCCTCCGCCCGCTCGCTGAGCGATTCTGTCGCTAGGGGGACGTCGGCAGCCGGTGCTGGATCAACCAAACGAGGAGTCATTAGGTCGCGGAGTTATGAAACTGGTAAGCGATTGAAATCTGACCCCTATTTTACTGTGCCACCGAGGTTTATGAACTATGTCTGAGTTTAGTGCAGGAAGTGGTAGATTGTCAAACCAACTCGATAGCCGCTGTGCACCGTTTGAAATCAAGCTTTACCGTTTTTCACCATGATGAAACAAAATTAACCATACAAAACGAACCAAGGGACAAACGCGCTGACCTCGGCATTAGCCTGTCACCGCATTGAACCAGCTTGCAACGTACAGCTTTTCGTTCATGACACCATAATGTGCAGTGGAGTTGGTTTTTCGACGCACCACTCAACCGCTGATCACCAGGCTCAACGTACAACCGCACCAACAGTGGACTATCACAACCAACTTAGTTTTGGGAGTGCTTCGTTCACGGTTGGCTGTAGTAGGCAAGAGAACAATTGCCGCATGGCGGACGAGCAGACATTGCGCGGCACGACGGCGATTGCAGTTTGTTGAAGCGCTATACGCTCGCGAAAAGCACGCTCTGCGATAGTGGTCCGCGAGGCGCCTCGAAGCGCAAAGCTCGCAGCTCCCCAACCGTCAATTGCGTCATTCCCTCACGCTCTCTCAAATGGATTCGTCTGGCAGCGGCGGCGGCGGCGGCGATCACGCCGCCATGCGATCCGTCAAGACGAAACGAGTCGTCGCAAATGGCCCGTCGCACGCTCCGTCGTCGCGCATCGGCGGCGGAGCGTCGTCGCCGCGAGGCGATCGCCAGGCGACTCTCTGGAGCTGCATAGATTGCTGCGGCTCACGGGAACCCGGCTCCCCCCGTTATAAGCGCCCTCGCGCAGTCACATTGACGTTAGCACTACTATTCGCGCTTCTTCTATCCGCCTTCGTTCTTCTGATCATACGATGGCCGCTGGAAGAGAGCTTCTTGCACTCTTATCTCGGAACCGGGAGGGCTGCTCCAGTCGAGTGCATCCCGAATGCAGCCCAGGGGTTCAGCGGCGAGGGCGTATTCGCGAAGCGAGAAAAGAAACAACAGAAAAAGCAGCTGAATCAAGCGCAGCAGCAAGAACAACAGGAGGAGAAGTTACCGAGTAACCACGTGCAGCTGTTCGATCAAGAGGAGGAGGAGGGCAGCGGAACGGAGCAAGAGAGCAGCGCAGCAGCGACGCGGCCGTTCGTGTACGTGTATGACCTGGGGAAGCAGCTGACGTCCAAAGTGCTGAAGCTGGAGCTGGAGTGGTACTCGGAGCAGTACGATTTAGAGAAGCACTTAACGGAGATGCTTATGAGGCGTACAGACAACCCCGTGCGCACCATGGACCCCGAGCAGGCGTCGCTGTTCTTCGTGCCCTTCTACGTGTCGCGCTACCTCTTCTCCTTCTTCCATAATGACAAGAAGAACATGCGGCAGTGCATCGAGAAGAGCTCACGGGTGGGTCAAGTGCGGTGCATTTGGTAGTAAGGCAAGCAGCCCTACACTCGTGCCCTTCTACGTGTCGCCCTACCTCTTCTCCTTTCTTCCACAACGATTGGACGAACATGCGCCAATGCATCGAGAAGAGCTCACGGGTGGGTGGTGGTGGTGAGGCACTGTAATTATCGCTAGTAGGGCAGGCTGGCAGAGGGAGCTCTATGCTTGTGGAGATCCTTATTTTTTTGTTATCAAAGAAGCATCATCATGGGTATCACACACGCGTGTGCAGGTGCATCAGCAGCTGGTGGTGAATTTGCTTGTGAGTGCCGTGTCGTGGGAACAGCAGCCATGCTTAGTACTTTTCAGAAGAGAGCCGATTGATTCTTCTTCAGTCAACTCAAAATACAAAGCACGCACAGAGTGCGTCAGTCAATTATTGGACAGGTTATTTGTGAACGAGGCGGGAGGGAGCAGAGATTGCTGACTGCCTGTTGGCCATGGAAGTCATTCTTACATTGCCACACATGCACGCCTCTCCTCACTCGGGTGACAAGGTTTGTTCTGAATTCAGATCTTGCGATTTTGGCAAGGCTTGCCACCCACACCCCGGCCATACCTGCACCTTCCCCACCCACTCACCCTCTCACTGCCTTCCTTCCCGTTCTCGCTCCCTCCCACTCCTCGTTTCTCTTCCTTGCCCGACCTTGCTCGTCCCAACCCCATTCCCCACCCTCGTGGACCCACCAGGCATGGACGAAAGTCCTGAAAGCCGTCCGCACCACCTTCCCCTACTTCAACCGCACCAACGGCCGAGATCACTTTGGCATCCTGACGCTCGATCACGGCCGTTGCCACTCGCTCACGTTTGTGGATCCACGGCTGGTGGGCGAGATGTTCTTCGTCACGTACAATGGAGACAAGCTCGTGCGCAGTGACCATGCTGCTAACGATCCCAGCATGCAGGTAGGTAGCCCATGGGGATGGGGTAGGTAGCCCATGGGGATGGGGTAGGTAGCCCATGGGGATGGGGTAGGTAGCCCATGGGGATGGGGTAGGTAGCCCATGGGGATGGGGACATCCGACATACCTTCATCTATTGTCACGACGTGTTATCCCATTCCTTTCAACACGAAGGTAGCAACCCTAGCATGCAGGTAGCAACCCTAGCATGCAGGTAGCAACCCTAGCATGCAGGTAGCAACCCTAGCATGCAGGTAGCAACCCTAGCATGCAGGTAGCAACCCTAGCATGCAGGTAGCAACCCTAGCATGCAGGTAGCAACCCTAGCATGCAGGTAGCAACCCTAGCATGCAGGTAGCAACCCTAGCATGCAGGTAGCAACCCTAGCATGCAGGTAGCAACCCTAGCATGCAGGTAGCAACCCTAGCATGCAGGTAGCAACCCTAGCATGCAGGTAGCAACCCTAGCATGCAGGTAGCAACCCTAGCATGCAGGTAGCAACCCTAGCATGCAGGTAGCAACCCTAGCATGCAGGTAGCTACCCTAGCATGCAGGTAGCAACCCTAGCATGCAGGTAGCAACCCTAGCATGCAGGTAGCAACCCTAGCATGCAGGTAGCAACCCTAGCATGCAGGTAGCAACCCTAGCATGCAGGTAGCAACCCTAGCATGCAGGTAGCAACCCTAGCATGCAGGTAGCAACCCTAGCATGCAGGTAGCAACCCTAGCATGCAGGTAGCAAGCCTAGCATGCAGGTAGCAACCCTAGCATGCAGGTAGCAACCCTAGCATGCAGGTAGCAACCCTAGCATGCAGGTAGCAACCCTAGCATGCAGGTAGCAACCCTAGCATGCAGGTAGCAACCCTAGCATGCAGGTAGCAACCCTAGCATGCAGGTAGCAACCCTAGCATGCAGGTAGCAAGCCTAGCATGCAGGTAGCTACCCTAGCATGCAGGTAGCAACCCTAGCATGCAGGTAGCAACCCTAGCATGCAGGTAGCTACCCTAGCATGCAGGTAGCAACCCTAGCATGCAGGTAGCAACCCTAGCATGCAGGTAGCAACCCTAGCATGCAGGTAGCAACCCTAGCATGCAGGTAGCAACCCTAGCATGCAGGTAGCAACCCTAGCATGCAGGTAGCAACCCTAGCATGCAGGTAGCAACCCTAGCATGCAGGTAGCAACCCTAGCATGCAGGTAGCAACCCTAGCATGCAGGTAGCAACCCTAGCATGCAGGTAGCAACCCTAGCATGCAGATAGCAACCCTAGCATGCAGGTAGCAACCCTAGCATGCAGGTAGCAACCCTAGCATGCAGGTAGCAACCCTAGCATGCAGGTAGCTACCCTAGCATGCAGGTAGCAACCCTAGCATGCAGGTAGCAACCCTAGCATGCAGGTAGCAACCCTAGCATGCAGGTAGCAACCCTAGCATGCAGGTAGCAACCCTAGCATGCAGGTAGCTACCCTAGCATGCAGGTAGCTATGGGGAAGTCACCATGACACACAAGTACCATTAATGTCAGCATGCAATGCAAGTACCCGAGCATGCAGGTAACCTATCAGGATGTCATCATGTTTTGTCCCATACATTTTAACATGCATACCTCAACATGCTATTTCCTCCATTCCCTCCATCCCCTCCTGTCCCTTCCCATCCCTTCCCAACCCCTCCCATCCCCTCCCATCCCCTCCCGTCCCTGCCCATCCCCTCCCAAGCCACATCCACATTCCACACAACCCCCCTGCTCTGCCTCCGCCCCCTCACCGCTCATCGTTGCAGCTGTTACCTTAGAGCAATCGCTTCATCCCCACACCACACCACACCACACCACACCACACCACACCACACCACACCGCTACCTCTCGCTCCCTTCTTCAACCCCTCACCTCCCCTCGCCCCTCCCCCCACCCCCCCACCCTGCAGCTCTTGTCATACCAGTACAGCGCGCCAGCAGACCCCACCATCCCCTCCATCCCATGCTACATGCCGGACAGAGACATCCCTGTGCCCGTGGTTGTGTGCGCCCAGGTGGCCTTTGTGTCTTCCCTGGCCTCACCCGCCCCCCTCCCCTCCCTCACCCCCTGCAGCTCCTATCATGTCAGTACGGTGCACCAGAAGACCCCACCATCCCCACCATCCCATGCTACACGCCGGATCGGGACATTCCAGTGCCCGTTATCGTGCGGCCCAGGTGCCCTTCATCTCAACCATAGCCTCACCCCCCCCACCCCCCCACTCCCCCATCCCCTCCCCCTGCAGCTCTTGTCATACCAGTACGGCGCACCAGCAGACCCCACCATCCCCTCCATCCCATGCTACATGCCGGACAGAGACATCCCCGTGCCCGTGATCGTGCGCGGCCAGGTGCCCTTCGTGTCTCCCTTTGCCACGCCGCGCAAGTGGACGGCTATTTTCCGCTTCGTGGCGTCGCCTCACAAGCACGTGCTGCTGGACGTGCGCAGCAGAATCATCCAAGTAAGAGGGGGTTGGGGGGGAGGGGGGGGGGTGGGGGGAGGAGATTGCACTGCCTGCTCCACTGCACGCGCAGGTGCCCTTTGTGCCGCCCCTGGCCTGGCCGCGCAGGTGGACGGCCATCTTTCGCTTGGTGGCATCGTCACACAAGCACAAGCACGTGCTGCTGGATGTGCGCAGCAGAATCATCCAAGTGAATAGGGGAGGAGGGGGAGGAGGTGTTGCAATGCATGTTGCACTGCATTCAGGTCAGCACACCGGGCGCTGCATTCAGGTCAGCACACCGGGCGCTGCATTCAGGTCAGCACACCGGGCGCTGCATTCAGGTCAGCACACCGGGCGCTGCATTCAGGTCAGCACACCGGGCGCTGCATTCAGGTCAGCACACCGGGTGCTGCATTCAGGTCAGCACACCGGGCGCTGCATTCAGGTCAGCACACCGGGCGCTGCATTCAGGTCAGCACACCGGGCGCTGCATTCAGGTCAGCACACCGGGCGCTGCATTCAGGTCAGCACACCGGGCGCTGCATTCAGGTCAGCACACCGGGCGCTGCATTCAGGTCAGCACACCGGGCGCTGCATTCAGGTCAGCACACCGGGCGCTGCATTCAGGTCAGCACACCGGGCGCTGCATTCAGGTCAGCACACCGGGCGCTGCCTCACAAGCACAAGCACGTGCTGCTGGACGTCTCAGGGTGCTCACTGCGTGCACTGAGGGTGCTCACTGCGTGCACTGAGGGTGCTCACTGCGTGCACTGAGGGTGCTCACTGCGTGCACTGAGGGTGCTCACTGCGTGCACTGAGGGTGCTCACTGCGTGCACTGAGGGTGCTCACTGCGTGCACTGAGGGTGCTCACTGCGTGCACTGAGGGTGCTCACCGCGTGCACTGAGGGTGCTCACCGCGTGCACTGAGGGTGCTCACCGCGTGCACTGAGGGTGCTCACCGCGTGCACTGAGGGTGCTCACCGCGTGCACTGAGGGTGCTCACCGCGTGCACTGAGGGTGCTCACCGCGTGCACTGAGGGTGCTCACCGCGTGCACTGAGGGTGCTCACCGCGTGCACTGAGGGTGCTCACCGCGTGCACTGAGGGTGCTCACCGCGTGCACTGAGGGTGCTCACCGCGTGCACTGAGGGTGCTCACCGCGTGCACTGAGGGTGCTCACCGCGTGCACTGAGGGTGCTCACCGCGTGCACTGAGGGTGCTCACCGCGTGCACTGAGGGTGCTCACCGCGTGCACTGAGGGTGCTCACCGCGTGCACTGAGGGTGCTCACCGCGTGCACTGAGGGTGCTCACCGCGTGCACTGAGGGTGCTCACCGCGTGCACTGAGGGTGCTCACCGCGTGCACTGAGGGTGCTCACCGCGTGCACTGAGGGTGCTCACCGCGTGCACTGAGGGTGCTCACCGCGTGCACTGAGGGTGCTCACCGCGTGCACTGAGGGTGCTCACCGCGTGCACTGAGGGTGCTCACCGCGTGCACTGAGGGTGCTCACCGCGTGCACTGAGGGTGCTCACCGCGTGCACTGAGGGTGCTCACCGCGTGCACTGAGGGTGCTCACCGCGTGCACTGAGGGTGCTCACCGCGTGCACTACGGGTGCTCACGGCGTGCACTGAGGGTGCTCACTGCGTGCACTGAGGGTGCTCACTGCGTGCACTGAGGGTTCTCACTGCGTGCACTGAGGGTTCTCACTGCGTGCACTGAGGGTGCTCACTGCGTGCACTGAGGGTGCTCACTGCGTGCACTGAGGGTGCTCACTGCGTGCACTGAGGGTGCTCACTGCGTGCACGGAAGGTGCGTGCGTGCGTGCACTGCCCAATCGCGAGACTCATACGTTGGCAGATACGCCCTTGGGGGGTGGGCGTATTGCGTATATACGCTAGCGTATGTACGCAATACGCTAATACGCCTGGAAATCCTAAAATACGCCGGGGCAGCCCGGTAAAAAAAAAAAACTCCATAAAAAATTGCAAGAATTTGAGACAGCGAGAATTGAACCCTCGACCTCGCACAGAGCCCAACTCCTGTCTGCAATTCGAAATTCAAAATTTCCTCCCACATCCCCAACCACACACCACCCCTCTCAACCTCCCAAACCCAACCTCCCCCCTTTCACTTGTTCGAACATCTCAATCCCTAAACAGCTCCTCTTTCATTCTTTCCCGCATTTCTCATCTTGCGTTTTGTCCGACTCTCGTCGAGCTCAAACTCTCCTAGCTTTAGTTCTTCCTCGCCATGGCGACCCCTACTCCCTACAGTTCGAGGGCGAAATCTGCCCGGGAAAAAGTTTTTTCCTGCCCGTCCAGCGTATTTTAGCGTATCAGCAGTACGCCAACCATGGCGTATGGCGTATATACCCAGCGTATAATACGCTAGCGTATTATACGTGATACGCGTATCTGCCAACTATGACATAGCAACCATGCAGGGTGCATGGCAGGAGGGAGGGCCATGTTGCGACGAAGCCACAAGAGGACGGACGACCACGAATTGCCACCAAATCACACACTCCTCTTCCTTCCTCGACCCCC